ACTGTATAAAACTAAAACCACAACCCTCTCCTTTGCCACAAGAGCCCGCTGATACATCTCTTTCTACTTATCAAACTGCTCTTTAGCACCTGGCAACAAACAGATACAAGCTATCTTTTGTAGGAAAGCCAAAAACCATATTAGCGAACCATACCAGAAAACCATGTAAATTAGAAAAACCAAGATAGAACGGCCTTCGGCCAAAGTCCTACATAGTCTCTGACTGAAAAAGGACTCTAATGGAATAATAATAATAATAATAACTATCTCCCACAGCCAAATTACTATCTCGAACAAACGATACCGCAAGATTAGCTCTATAATGCGCTACCCCACGAACAGGCTCCTATCTACCATGATCTGAGCGGTGTTGCACAAGAGACTACTTTTGATGCAATTCGCAAAGATCTCGACAAGGTCTTTATGTCTATCTGGCAGCTGCAGAATGATTATCAGATGCGAATCGAAAAGCTCGACCAGTTAGTTATCTAGAGAGTTTTGCTGTGTGGATGCTGACATAGAGCAGAGAGGTCGCACAAGCAGCAAACGCGGCCCAGAGCCTACGTAAAGATGTGGATGCTATCAGCGGCTGGGTACAACAAGTGATCGCTTTTTTGAACGATATGAGTGCCCCGTCGGAGTTAGCTTGCCCAGAAGAGGGGGAAGTCCTAAAACAGCCCAAAGTCGAAAATCAGGACCAGATGGAGTAACCCAGAATACTGGAAGCTGTGTAGGGGTTTCTGTATCTTGTATTTGGTTGAGTTCGCATTTCTGTCTTCTGTAGTTTCATAGGACTATATATGCATATAAAAAGCGCACCAGTTTAGAGTACTCATCCGCTCTCCACCCGCTTTGAGATGCCTCCTCCCTACTCTCCACACATTCGATGGGCAAAGCCCGTAGTTAGATCAGTGTCAAGAAAGCCTACGAGGCTAGAATGCTTGCGTATGAACATATTCGAAAGCCATGTCGATGGATGCGCGGCATGTGAGCCACTGCTGTTCAAGCGTAAGCCGACGTTTTGTCGTCGCGGCTGCCTTCTAGAGGGCCTCGTCATTCGCGACTTTGTGGTAGGGGGAGATGGGCGGGTTTACAGTACAGACAGGGAACGTGGTCATCGCATTTGCGTTGAGATATCTGACAAATATTGGGCCGTCCTGGCGCTGCTTGAGGAAGTGGATGGTCGGAGGATTTGTGTCAACTCGCGCTAAGCAACATTAGGGAGCAGATTGGGACGGTAGCATTTGTTTTCCTACGGAAATCAATATTATTGGTTAGAATTACCTCAAGAAACTAATGCTGCGGTGAAATTGTGCATCTTAGAGGCTAACATGCTTTCCACCTTCCAGTTAGCGTCTTGGTTTGCAACGCATGTACCTCACCATGCGTGTTGATGCATTCCGCAGGGAACATGAGCTCAAGCCGTCGATCTGCAACGCGCGTACGGCGCAGTCAATATGCAGCGCGTGTACGGCGCAGTCAAGGAACTCAATATGCAACGCGTGTACGGCGCAAGCTTAACGTGCTCAGCTAGGCAAGAGTAGCGAGGCGAACTGTGAACTATCCCGCAGGTTGGGCGGGCGTCTAAAGAACTACCCGCATCGGCTGTGGGGTAGAGTAAGCGAAGCGAGGCGAACTGCGAGCTGCTGCAGGGTTCGAGGGGCGTCTAATGCCGGTAGACTGCATGCATGAACGAGATTACCTCGTAACGAGACGAAATGCACACTGGAAGGGTTAGTACCTTCCTCGGAGATGTTAGGAGACTTTTGCGGCGCGGTCGATGTTGCATAATATTAATTTAGATAGTTATGATTTCGTAAGAGGCGTAGTAGTGTAGGTGGGTATGTCGGCTGTCTCCGGTGACGAGTTAGTATCGTTTTCGCGGCGCGGACAAGAACCTCGCAGTAGCTGGTCGGTGGCGTAGCCTTGGCGAACTAATGTCGGCAATATTTCTCAGCACACTATTGTGGAACCTTCGCTCCAAGCGCGCTTCTTCCTTAGTGTCCACGGGTATGTCTAGACTAACGCTTACTATTGTGGGGTCTGTTTTCGTCGAGAGCGGATAAATCTCTTGCGACTTGCCGACTTTCGTGGCGGTAGGACAGAGGAGAAGAAGGGTACGGTAGTGAATGGACCGGTTTTAACCATGTCTCCTGTTATGGAAGGTGATATAAAAGCGATGACTATACACGCTTACGCACCGCGGCTTTTAACAACATCGAACATCTTAGAGCAGCTATTCAACGCACGTATAGAGAGGAAACTCAAGAGATTACCTACTTAGACATTAAGGCTGTATAAAATAATCTAAGTTTAGCTAGACATGTTCTACGTAACGCATGATCCACAAAGGCAGTATACCAAGTGGCAGAGATAGCTCATAAGCAATGTCTCCGTATGACAGAACCTCTTGATAAACAGCCCAAAAGAACAAAACCCGCTCTATATCTCTCGTGGAGTATAGTTGATCTAAGCGCTGACGTTCTCCAAGCGTCTTGAGGTCTAAATTGGCACGATGGATATCCTGGTGAATTTTGGACCAGTAGCCCTTGCTCCGCAACCGCATAGTCTTGATAGTGTGCTGTGGGTCTTTCTCTTGGCTCGTGAGGAGACCCTCGACGCTTGCTTTGACTTCTTCGGCTATAGTAGCACGTAAAGCTATGCTAGCCTTTGTCGAAACAATGCTTTCTTTTAAGGCTTCTTTGAATAAGCAGACTTGTCATTAAGCAAATCAAACAAACTTTGGACGCTGATTTGATTTGTTTGTACAAAACTTAAGATTGTATTTGAGTTGTTTAGTTTGATAGTGTTTTAGGAGGCCGTTTGTTTGAAAGTTTGATAGATTTGATACTGTTTAGGTGCTGATCTAATCGTATATCGTATATATTACTAAGCTTCGCTGTCCCACTTGCATATTTCGTATATTGCAGCTACCTCAGCGTCAGTTACATCGCCTGAGTTGTAATCAGATGGAGGCTTAAAGCCAGCGTCGCGCCAGCTTCGTATACACTGTATTAGACTCCGCAACAATCAATTCAATCCGGTCACTCTCCTAGACCCACTTACCTATCTAGGTAGGGCTTAAACTCCTATAGGTAACTACTAGGCTTAAAGCGGTAATCAATCAATCCAATCTGAACCTTCTAGGACCCACTTAATTGATTGTTGCGGACTGTGACCTAGCGTTCTCACTCTTGTTTCAGCCACATCGAGATACCGACCCCAAAGCCACCACCCTAGAAGAACACCAAACGATAACAACCAACGACTTTCATATCCTCGCACAACAGAACCTCTTAATAGTCAACATATAGGAAATGAGCTACTTATCGCACTTCCCCCACTCTACCCACAACACATCCTCGTCCCTTTCAGTCATGCCTCCGTCCCTCCAAGCCATGCGCATAAATCACAGAGCAAATATCCCAACTCAGGAATGTAAAAGGCCCAAGCCACTAATTGTGTAGTAAAGTAAATGAAACAAGGACAGCGAACCTCCAAGCTACGGCGTTTGAGGGATAAGAAGAGATGATAGGGAATGAGTTTGACGTTGTTACCCTAAGAGACTTCCGGCTATGAATTAATACTGCACCCGTAGACATGGAAGTGTGAAAACCACCTCTCTCCCCCTCTCTATCCCTATCCCCTCCCTCCTCCCTTCTCCTACTCCCTCCCCCCTTCCCTATCCTTGTAACTGCGTGAGCAGTGTCGGGTGGAGGCTGTGGATCAACGATTGTATTGCTATCTGTTGTCGTGTTGTGATGTATGTGTACAAGAGCTCTCGGCTCAGAGGTAGGTGCACTTGCCCATCGGGCAGTGCCTGCTACAATAGGATGTCATGTGACTCTGGTCACGTGGTTACAATCCTTCCTCCTTCCCCCTCATCCCATCCATCTCTCTCCTCAACCCCGCCATCTCCACCCTAACCTCCAAAACTTCCCGCTCAAGATGTATGACCTGCGCGGTGAAAATGCGGTAGAGGAGGAAGAAGCAGAGGGCGTTTAGGAGGGCTGGTATGATTGTGTGGGCTGTGGTGTAGGCGTAGGCGTAAGCGTGGGTTTGGGTGGAGGGGGGTGGTTGTGGTTGTGGTTGTTGTATCATGGTTGGAAGGGCTGGGGCTGGGGCGCGATGGGCTTGGGCGTCTTTTGCTGGGGCGCGATTGTCCAAGGCTGTGGCGTACAGTGTAGTCGACTATCCTTAACAACAATACCACAACAGCGGTTCCAAACGAACAGAACAGAAGGTAGAGGGAGATGTATCTCTCCAATCTGAACCCAAGCGCGCGCGTGTTAACGATATCCACAAGGAAAAAGTTGAAAATAGACAAAACGTCTCGTTTCGATTCGTTGTGTTTTGTTGTTGACCTCAGACTCCAGATCCCAGCCACGACGACGACGACAACAACAGCTTTTATACAAACGACTCCAAACCAATCCTCACATCTTACCCCGTCTCCCCAGCCCAGCACAGTCCATCCCACACATCCATTCATTTGCGCTAATTACCCCCAATCCACACGCCACCACGAGCAATACAAAACGCGATAATCGTTACACACACCGCAACCGCAACTTATCCTCTGGTACCAAACACGTAAACATCTCTATGCTTTTGCTTCGCGCGTGGTGATGAAATTGGCGATCTGTTACCTAAGCAATTACCCAAAAGAGAATATATCGCTCACGGGGGGAAAATGCCTCATCGCATCACGGAGGCGGGAAAAAGGAAAGGGGGTGACGAACATGGAAAGAAGAAAGGGGAAGAAGGGAGAGAGAGAGAGAGCGATATAGCATTTCAGGAATTAGTTGTAGGGCGAACAGGAAGAAAGACGTATGCAACTCAATGCATCACGTGGCACCGTCTCTCACACCCCATCACAATTTACTACCCACACACTACAACCGCCTACAACCGCCTACAACCGCCTACAAACATCCTCGACAACCTCCTCCGTCTTGGCCTTCCCCCCCAAATCCGGACTAACCAACCTCCCCTCGACCAACTGCTCATCCACAGCCCTATAAATCGCCGCGGCCGCCTCCTCCTCCCCCATAAACTCCAACATGAGTGCCGTCGACCGAATCGTCGCAATCGGATTCGCAATGCCTTGGCCCTCAATATCCGGGGCCGATCCATGACAAGGCTCACCAATCACAAACTCCTTGCCAACATTAGCAGAAGGGACGAGACCGAGGGAGCCAACGAGAGCGGCGGCGCCGTCGGATAAGATGTCGCCGTAGAGGTTGGGCGCGACGATGACGTCGTAATCTTGTGGTTGGCGGAAGAGCTTATACACCATTGAGTCGACGATTTGTTCTTCCACGCCGAGAGATTGGTATTTAGCATCTTGCAGGGCGCGACGGGCGGTTTCGCGAAACAAGCCGTCGGTCTGCGAGAGGACGTTTGATTTGTGTGTGATTGTAACGAGGGGTTGCGTGTGAATCGACGCGGCGCCGGCGGAGCGGACGCGCTGCCGGCGGAGAGCAATGTCACCTGCCATGGCGGCGATGTTGAAGGACGCGGTTTCGGAGATTCGCTTGATTGCTTCGGCGATCTTGCTGCCGTCGGGTGCCGTGTAGGTCTTCTCTTCTTTGACGTATAGGTCCTCGGTGTTTTCGCGCACGATGACTAGGTCGACGGCGCGGGGGTTGCCGCGCACGCTCTTGACGGGGCGGACGTTGGCGTAGAGCTTCATTTTCTTGCGGAGGGCGACGATGGGGCTGGAGTAGCCCTTGGTTTGGACCGTGGGCGAGCTGACGGCTCCGAATAGGGCGCCATCGCAGTCTGATTTTAGTGCTTCCACCGTTTTATCGGGGAGCGCAGCGCCTGTCTTTTGGAATGTCTCCCAGCCGGCCTCGTGGTGGGAGAAGGAGAATTTGAGGCCGAGGGATGAGGGCAGCGCTTCGAGGATGCGGCGGCCAGCGGGGATGACTTCACGGCCGATGCCGTCACCTGGGATGAGGCCTGGATGGGTGATTATTAGCCATTGATCTTTTTGGACGATTGAATGCGCTCATTTAAGTAAACATCAATCTTTTTTCGTGTCCTTACCTATCCTCAGTGTGCGTGCGGCCATTTTGAGCTGTGTGAGAAATGTCAGACTCAAAAAGTGATTTTAACTTTCCTCAGCTTCCGCGCCGAACATCGGATCCCCGTCTGAGCTTCTCGCGCTAACCCCTTCTGGAACCACCCCACGCGGAGATGGCGATCAGGTCACTGCAGTCACACAAGGTCTAGTCTAAAAGTACATTAGCCATACAAGCTATCAAGACTGTCTAATCACCAATCCACCCATTCTGTCCTAGTCCTATTGTGTATCACCTATACCTTGCAAACGCCGTGCTATGCCATGTCCCATCATCAAGCAGAGTTGCTATCAGTCAGTTCAGTCAGTCCGGAGCTCTCTGGACTGACTGAACTGACGTCCTGAGGTCACTGAACTGGACTGGACTGACTGCCAAGACTTTTCAATTAAACTAAAACTGACTGACTGAACTGACGTCGCCGCGGCCTGCGGACTGACTGGACTGACTGAACTGAGTTACCTGACGTCGAACTGAGATAAATGCTCCTGTACTTTTGAGATTTCTTCCTCTGATAGTGTGCGCGCTAGCCCAGAAGCTGAGGTAGTTGTTGGCTGTATACCAAGCCTCTTCCAGCTCTTCAAGCTCTGCAAAGCTGAAATAAGCTCTGGCTTCATATGGAGTCTCCGGGTGCCTAACATGTCGCCAAGCTCGCTGAAAGTCCGCTCACAGTCTGCCGCTGCTGCTGGTATTGTTAGGACGTCAATAGCGAACTTTGAGAGTATAGGGAACTGCCCAGCAACTGACTCCCAGTATAGAAGCGGATTAAGAGACAGCCAATCCTCCTCAGCTAACGCTGGTTGCCGCTTCCATATCTCATACTCATCCTCAGCAAGGCTTGCCTCTAACTGCCGTGTGCTTTGCTCAATTGACGACTGTAGAAAAGCTGATCGCGACGTTGAAATCCCTAGCCGGGGCTTCTTCAGAGTTGCCAACAAGCAAGTAAGTGGGGCTCAGAAGGTCTAACTTGACTTGCTTGATTACCTATTGTAGCCTAGTAGTTACTTTGTTAGGTATAACTCCTACTCCTAACAGTTAGCGTCCAGTTTTGACGAGCAACTTGACTTGCTTGTTGGTAACTCTGGGCTTCTTACGCGGCGGCGTTACAGTGTGAGCTGAAGTGGCTGCAGAGTCCTTCCGCCCCTGCCACATACGCAGGAATGCCCGGTGGTTATTGTCAAGCCAGCCGTCGCGATAGTGGACACCGTCACGGGCAGTGACATGGGTGTCAGGCACCTTCCAGAGCGCTGAGAGGTG